TTGCATTAATGCTGAAAATGATGTTTTGTGAGGGGAATAATTCTACTAAATGGTCTTTCTGTCCTGCAAGTTTTTTGTTTTACATTGATTATTAATTAGTTGCAGGGCATCTATGTCTGCCCAAATTTCTGGTCAGGCATCCAGTGTATAATCTAAACATAAAGAAAGCAAACGTAATCGTGTAAAAAATAAACAATAAAAAGATAACTTATTTCAAGTATTAAAGACTACAAATATTGTTGTTTCAGCTACAACACGCATATTTTGTGACTCATTCTTCTCCCTCTGGCAGTCAGAAGACAGAGGAAAGGAGTTAGACTGCTAACTCAGATAAAGAGTGCGTAGCTCAACACAGTATCAGCAGCCTTCAGTGTCAGTCTGGCATATCTTTTCGCTTCTGTAGCATTTCAGCAGCTCTAAAAACAAGCTCTTCCTAATCACATTCCTGTTTACTAAAACATCTCCCTTCAGCCTCAGCTGTCAAGTCAAGCTTCAAACAAGGAGTCAAATGTCCTTTACAGTATTAAACTGCTAATTGCGTTTGTAATGTCTGTCTAACTGGCAGTAAAATATCAGTCAGAAAACTTTAAGATATGTTGAAAGGTTGTTCCACTACTTGGACAATAACAGTGTATACTATTAGAAAATGTATTTAAAATGCACCATAAATTGTTTTTTTTCTGCTTTTACTGTACCCTACAGTAAATATATATATTTACATTTTTAGCTGTTTAATTCAAACACTATATCTGTATTTTTTATTGCAGTAATGTTAATGTATTTCACATTACATCTTTACTGTTTTCAGAAAGGCACAAATAAAAGCAGAGTGTAAACAAAAAGAAGTCTAGAATACTAAAAATGTTTCACATATAATCAGCACACAAACATTAAGAGTAACAATTCAAGAGAAAACTTCAACTTAGAACATTAGTTATAAGTATTCTGGACTTCTTAGGGTTTGCAGTGCATGCTTTCTCCTTTCAAAACAACATTTCAACTTGTTCTGGTTAAAACGTTGTCTTGTTTTCTTATGGAATTTAGAGAAACCCGCATCTTGATTAAAAATAACTAGCTCTGCTTGGTATTGTAGGGATCATGGTTAGCTACTTTAAGCAGACACTTTTAACAGATATATAAACAGCCCCACTCCCATAGACTACCACTCTGGCTCCCTGAACAAAGACCCTTAACCCCACACTGCTCCCCGGGTGCCTCACAAATGGCAGCTCACTGCTCTTAGAGGTGATGGGTTAAATGCAGAGAGTTCATTTCGTTGCTCTGTACTTGTGACAGCGTAATTATAATACTGTACATTTTTTTGTTGTTTGTTTAAAGCTGGAAAGCTTAATGAGTTGTGTTGAATTTCAAATGGCTTTATCTCTGTTAGTTTATGGTATCATTCTGCTGTGAAATGTTCTACAACTTTATTCCTGACCCTTTTGTTCTTTGTTTTTTAGCTGCTGTTTCTCACTAATGTTCACTTATAAAATCCTCTGAAACTGCATTGATGCTGAGACAAACTGGTGCTCCACTTACCAATTAGTTAACCTCAAATGACAATTTGCACAGAATTCTATTTAGATGTTTGACAAAGAAGGGGTCTGAATATATACATAAATGCCACACTTTTCAGATTTTAATGTTCATGTTTAAAGGGTCTGCAAACTGCAACTGTGGAGACTATATACAACGTGTACAATGGCTCTAAATAATGGTTTAAATGATATAGAGAACCAACTGGTTTAGTGACAGAGTTCTTACAAGGTTTGTTCTTTTGTTTTGTTTTTTAAACAACAATGCTTAAAAAAACACAGAAATATGTTTTTAGATCTACTTTCCTTTTCAATTACTTAAAAATAATGTTTTTTTTGTACATGAAATACTATAAATGCTAAATACTATACTAGAAGAAAATCATGCTTCATCTTTATTAAACGTTTCTTGCTTTTCCTTATTTTAAAAGCTAAAAATTTAAAATTTACTGATAGTTTGCTTAAAACAGCAACTGATTTCCTCTCTCAGATATTTAACAAAAATAATAATTAGCATTTTATGAGGAGATTATTTAATATTGGCAGCTCTAAGGGAGTTTTTCCTCTCCACTGTCGCTACAAGCATGCTTAGTGTGAGGGATTGTATTTGAGTCAATGAGTCGATGCAATCAACTGGTTTTCCTTAGATAGAAAACTTTGTATCAATTTGACTGTATGATCTGGTTGAACTGTAAATGTAAAGTGCCTTGAGATGACATGTGTTGTGAATTTGGCGCTATATAAATAAACTGAATTGAATTGAATTGAATCAGAAGAAAGCAGGTGTCCTTCAA